GCTTTGTCTTAAACCTCCCAGGATGGAGACTCTAAAACCTCTCTGGGTAACCTCTTCCAGTGCTTCACTATCATCCTACTGAGTTTTTCCTAATATCTAACCTAAACTTCCCTTGCTCAACCCTGTCTCTTCAGCAGGAACAGTTGGATTGGAAGATTACTTAATCAAGCAGCTTCTTAACAGATTTTGGGGAGTGATGCTGAAAAATGTGTTAGACAGAAAATCATGCATCTGTCCTTGGAGGTATGTCCCTAGTGGCAGAGGTTGGTTGTCTCCCTCTAGAGAGGCACTGGACACAACGTGGGCCCTGCCAATGCTGGTGTGGTAAAGGAGTCTTTAGTACTTAAAAAGTCTTACTTATGAAGTCCTTTTCCCTGGTCACCTCCTAAGCTCAGCATAACAAATTAATTCAGAAAAGGCCGATGCAAACTTCTGCACAGATGCTTTTGGAGGCACATAATTAGGGAATTTTCCTCAGGGAAGGAAGCCTAGCTTCTGAATTGGAGAAAGGGGATTGTATCTTTGGGGGGAGGGGAAGGGATTTATTTCTTCTATCCTTGTATTTGATCCCTTCCAGTTTGTTTTACTTTATATGAATTTCAGTGTGGCATGCTTTTGTGTAATCCGCTTACCACGGTCAGGACCTTCTGTGGGCACTGTTGAAATCTTTAGCTATTTTGATGAACTTCCTGGGTGCAGATTTTTAGATTGACTTGAAATGTTAAGTGATATGGAGTAACAGACTCAGGTTCTGATGCAAGATAGATGACAAATGTACAAATCTTTCCTCTTGATGGACTGTTATTTTTTTTTTAAAATAGTGTTAAGACAATGTTCTCTACAGTGTTATGTTTGGTAGTCAGCTGAGTTCTGACTTATTTGGTGATTCTAACTCATTGGGGGCCAGTCTTTTGAGCAGGTGTGCTACAGATTATTCCCTCACTCTGATCCCCTTTCCCTGCTGCTTTTGCTTTCTGCTTCCTGCCCTGTGCACTACTGTGCCCTCCATGATCTGCTACATGTCACACAGAGGCTACCTATGCCATCTATAGCACCTGGTGCTGCAGGTTGGCCACCCTGTCCGAATTGGTTTACGATATAAAGTTTCAGATTCACTTTTGGTAAGGAATTGCTCACCCTAAGGTAAACTATATGGTGAACTTTCCTTTGAGAGCTTGTTGTTTCATCTCGGATGTCCAGGGGCCTAGAGAGCAGAGATTCTGCTAGCAGCACATCTTTGATTCACATGTATACTGGTCTGAAGTGAAATGATCTGGAAACAAATGGCAGGCAAGTTTAGTCCGAGGGGTGATGGATGATGTGCTGCCAAATAGAGTGAAGTCTAGAGGATCTTCTCAAGATCTGGCTGCTGGCTCCAGATTCCACACAGCCTTTTCCTATGGTGCTTGCTTCCATTCTCCTTTAATAAAGAATGACCTTATTAGAATCTATGGGGCCCATATAAGAAGCCCGTTCATAGCATCTGAGAAAGTATGTTGTTGCCTATGAAAGCTCATGCCTCTTTGAACTAGTTGGTCTCTGAGATGCCACCTTGTCCTACTTTCTGCCTTACTTGAGACTAACATGTCCAGTAACCTTCATAAGGCCCATATGACAGGCTTCATTTTAGATTGCATGGTCTAGGGCTTTGTCTGTATTGAGAGTTAGGATAGACTCTTTAAGGCCACCCAAAAGCTTACCTACCTACACTGCATGCTTATTAATTCAGTTTGTGGCAGCAGTCCAACTCAACTTTTGGAAGCCAACTTGCTGGATAGGGAATTGCAGCTGCTACCTTTTGCCTCCTAGTCCTTTTTCTCAGTCTCTTCAGTTAATGTGGAACTGACCTTTAGTGCATGAAGTCTGCCAGCAGCAACCCTACACTTCCTTTTTTTTTTTTGACTTCTGGCCCTTCTGTGCCTATCTTGCTTTCTTTATTGACCAGAATTAGAGATTGATGTGGAAGGAGAGAGATAGTCCATTGTTCATGCAAAAAGGCTTGGATCCACAAATAAAAGTAGCATGGGCAGCATTGGTACAAGGCATGTTTAGAGATGAACAAGGGCTGGTTAATAACAGTATAATATAAAGTTCAAGCCCAAATCCTGGTGCCAGCAGTAACACAAGACAATCTTCTAGATTGCCTTGTATAGGAGACTAGCAGTGAATGGAAAGTGCATCACTTCAAGTGGATCTCTGTATCTGACCTCATGGACTAGAAGAGCATGCTCAGCTGGAGTCCAGGCAGGATTCTTTTAAATGACCTCGCCATTGATTGTATGTTCCAGACAGCAGTGTAGGGCTCCATTCATACCTTTACTAACCTACAAGGCTCCAGGCCCCCATAAGCCTAGTTAGTATTCTACTTGGGAGTTGCCTTCAGTGGCATACACATGGGGACAAGCACTCCAAGCAAGAAAAGTTTAGGGAAATGGCCAGCCAGTGTAATATTTGGAATTTAGCATGAATTCCCGTATTCACTGCCCTTCTCTGCTTTGGATTTCTTCAGTGTTCTGGGGATATGTGGAAGAAAAGAAACCCACATGGTGCTTGGTTCTGCATCAGCCTTTGCAACCTTGCATTGGTGCACAGAAATTATTAGGGCATGTGTGGGGACTGAATGCTAACTGCCAGCAAGACTTCCTGGACCCTGTGCATGCCATGATATGGAATACATATCTGGGTAATGCTTCTTGCTTATCCATATAGTAAAGGGAGCACTCCAACCTTTCTCTGTATGCCTGTGAAGTGACTAGGGAGGGAGGGAGTGACAGGCACCATAGTATACTGTCACTGTGGACTTGTAATTCAGAATGAATAGCAGTAGTTTATGAAGACCCTGATCAAACTTTGGGTCTCATTTCTTTAGACCCAGTGCAAACACAGTGGCAGCCCTACCCCAAAGGGCATATAGCCTAAAGAGAGGAAATAAAGGAAAGGCGAAAATAATGTGGTTATTTATAGATGTAGGAAATAAGGCCTAGAGATGGAGTGACATGACCAAAGCTCACGCAAGAAGCTAGTGACAGGTTGAAAATTTGAAGATTGATTTCTTGATCCAGTTGCTCACCATGAGTTCCCTTCCTTTCACCAGTTGAGTCCATTCCTCCACAGTTTCAGAGGGTATTGAAGTTTTCCTTGCAAAAATCCCTGTTTTTTCCAGCAGAGGTGGGTGCTAGACTGCAACTATTAACCTGTACCAAGAGCAAGATCACCTAAAGTAATCTAGAAAAAATTATGCAGAGTATCCCAGGAATAAATACCAAAAGCAGTGAGTAGTTTGTTCTTAAAGAATGGGTGTTTTTTTCCATGCAGGAGGCAAGTGTTATCCATGATGCTATTTGGTAACATTATATGTTAGCTCAGACATTTGATGCCCATCCATAACAAAGATAGGGTTGTGGGGTTGCTTTTTCAGACTCAGTATTTTGTAGCTCTGTACTTGCATTGACTCTTCCAAGTTTCACATACTCTCCACTGCTACCATTTTGGCTCAGTCTCTGGATATGCTTATGCTGCAGTCAGAGCTGACCTACAGCTTGTGTAGCTGTATCCACACTACCTGTGCACATGCTGGCTTTGCTAATGGCGGAGCCTGTACTTGGGTTCTGGGCAATTTCTGCAGCTTGCATTCTGGGCTAGGTCACTTGAAGTTGGCTGGGGCAGATCCACATATTTGACTCTGTGTAAATCAGTGATTCTCAACCAGAGTGAAGGAGTGTCCTGGGATCTGGGGTGCTGTGGTATCCTTTAAAGGGTGCTGCTGAAGTATGAGAAGATAAGCAGATAAGGGCAGGTTAAGACTTGGCCCTGCCTGGCTGACGCTTTCTTTCCCCACCTCCTCCCCCCCAGGTAACCACTGTAGTAAAGGATTAGTTTTTTAAATGAGATGCCATTCAATTCATGAGTTAGAGGGGTGGCTCAAGTCCAAAAAGGTTGAAAAACCACTAGCTTAGGTACTTTTATATGAGCATGAGGGTGTATCATTTCCTATTTCTGTTTACCTTACCTAGTAACCTGGGATGGCTGGCTGTTTCAAGATCACTTTTTTTTTTTCCTTTTCTTTTTTTTATAGCTTGCACTGAAGGGATCTAACTACAGTGGACTACTGGAGCGACATCATATTCATACAAAAAATGTGGAGCATGTTGTAGACAGTTTACGGTAAGCATAAAGATTTAAGAATGATGGGGAAAGGTTTTTTTTATTACTTACAATATGAAGTAACTTTTTATTAAAGAGATCTGAGGTACAAAAGCTAGTTCTTCCTATCTCTGTGAAGTCCTGCAGAGATCAGCCAAGCGAGCTGATAAAGTTGACGTGCAGAATGGCAAAGATCATTCCTACCAGGCCTGCAGCATGTGCTCACTATACTTGGGACTCTCTTGTTTTTTGTTGATGTACTTGTTGCTGTAGACTGCATTTTGCAGCCCTGATCAAGTAAATGATCTAAACTCAGACAACACTTTCAATGTAAAATATGCTGCTTGAGCAAAACATAGGTTAATTTGTAGGCAGTGCAGATGATAGTTTCTGTGTGGAAATCCTGAGAGGCTCTGGAAGGGAAGCATTTTAAACCATTTCAGTAAAGTTGTGACTGTGGTTTGAGTAAGTACATGGAGTGTGTGGATTTCTTGGCTAGCGCACCAAAAAAACCAATTGTGCATAATAGTAGAACAAGTTATGAAGCATCTTTCATGAAACTGCCTTTTTTATAATATAGTTATGTAGTGAACCATTTTTAAACAGATATCAGGTCTCTCAGGACAGTAAATGAATCATTAAATGCACAGAGCTAGTACACACTAAATTGGACACTTCAGAAAACATTTTTCCAATGCTATTCATAAATTAAATAGCATAACTAACTTATCCTTTTAACAACTACATTTCATATCCGCATGAAAACATGAACTGAAATGTTCTTCATCATGCTTTCTCTGCCCTTTTTTAGGAATGAGAGGATTGAGGTCCGCCTTGTTAAGCGTCGTGAATATAACGAAGAGACAGCTCAGTGGGCAGATGCTGTTATATCAGCCGGAGGTATTCATTTTTGTGGGGAAAGGTGTCGTGGATTTAAGAGAATGGTAATCTCTGTTATGAAGCATTATGAAGAGTTTGATTGCGTCATGCTTTGTAGGGTAGTCAGTGCATTTTTGGATAAAACTCTTAAAAGTAATCTGGGGGAAAATTAAGTGACATGACCCATCTTTAGTTTTTTGGTTGTTTTACATGCTGTAAAGAAGCTAATACTATAAGGTGACACAATCTAAACTGTAGAATTGGACATACTCCCAACTCATGTAAAAAGATAATAGTGTTTTGAAGCATCCTTATCTTGTAGTTAAGTGTGTGGGGTGAAGATTAGCACTCTTTCTCCTACTTGTTCCTCCTTTCCCGTCTCCCGCCCTCTCATATTTTTTGCTCACTTACACATTCATCTGTTTTGGTTTAAGCATTTAACCAGATGTGCTTACCTGAATGGTAAACCTGCCAGCTAAAAGGTTGATGAGAAGTAGTAGGATTCCAGTGTCATAATGCAAAGCAAATATCCTCCTAACTGCTGGGCTGCCTTCTGGGGTACAGTCTCTTGGGGGAACCTTGGGGATTTCATGTTTTTATGTTAGACTTTGGCTAGCAGATGTTTGTAAAAATCCAGAGGACTCCCAATCCCACTCTTGTATAAAGGAGAAAAGAAAGAACGTTCTTTCCCTTCTTGCTCCTTCCCCTATTCAGAATTTCTTGGTGGTTGTACTTGTGATGTGGTTTCTGCTTCTGTACTGTTTTTAAAGCTGCAGCAGATAATATTCTGATTCTTCTCAGTTTCATTGCTGCCTCTGGGATTCTGAATAACAATGAAAACAGGTGGATTTTGGTCACTTGTTATTTTGTTGCAGGCTGCTTACAGTACTACTGCATCTGTCTGCAGTGTTTTTGAGTCTGTATTGGCTTACCCTTGTTCCAGTTACAAAATGGTAGAAATATATATTTAAATGAGAAGTATTTGGACTTGAGACATGGCTCATTGAAACTCATGTTATTTGGGAACATTTAAGGCCTTCTGCTGAATAATGACTGGAAGCCACAATTGTGGGGAAAAATGTATATTTGGTCTTGGTATGTATGTATACCTCAAATACTATTTCTGAAGTATGTGATAAATGGTCAGAATTGCATCACATTTCCACACGCTCTTGCTAGTATAGTTCTGGTACAAAAATAGTAAGAAGTACTTTTTTTCCTTTAAATGATACAATATAGCAAGAATGGGTTTTTTCCCCTTTGTACCAGTTTTCATTAACATACAAATGCTTCCACAGATGCTAGTCTTAGATTTGCTTAAACCAAAAATAACTGTCTATGTACAATTATCAAATAAGTTGGCGTTTTTAGTGCTAGCTCCTGTAAACCTTGGATTTTTACTGTGCTTCTAAATTAATTTTGTGTCGGCAGTATCCAGCTTTAAAGACTAAATAAATGCTTTAAATGCAGAGGTGTAGGTTGTAGTCATGTTGGTCTAAGGACATAGGCAGACAAGGTTCTTTGGGTGAATCTAATCTTTTTTATTAGACCAAATTAAAAGGTTGGAAAAAAATTTTTAGCAAGCTTTTGGGTTTAAAAACCCTTTGTCAAGCTGAGGAAGTCTCTGCAGTTGGTGTGTTCTCTTCATTCCATCAAGGAAGAGCACACTTAAATGCAGGTCCATTTTTCAGTTTTACTTTTGGCTTACCTTGTTAACGCCTAGGTAAAAGCGCTTGAAAACCAATTGCAGCGCTGCTTTGTGTATCTGAGACTCAATTTAATATGGAGTGTTTGAACATTGTTCAGTAAAAGTAAAGCCAGTTTTTCATGCCTCTATTTTTCTCTGTAGGTGATGGCACAATGTTGCTGGCTGCCAGTAAAGTATTTGACAGATGTAAGCCAGTTATTGGAGTAAACACTGATCCAGAAAGGTAAGAATAACACATTTGGGAAAACAGTAACTTTATGTAAAGTCGACCACAATATGAATTTGTGCATGTTGCTATTCTGTACAACACAATTGGATGTAAGGGTCTGGAAAGAAACCCAGAAGCCTCCAGAAAAAAGCCTGTTTTGTTTCCAGTTTTAAAAGAGAAACAGTGTTTGTATTGTTACATTGCTCATTCAGAAATCCAATTCAACAATTCAACATGGCTCACTAAAAACATCCGGGAATGTCTCCTTGCCAAAAAGGAGGCTTACTCCCAATGGAAAGGAGGGGTCATCACTAAGGAGGACTATTC